TTTCAGGGGTTGTCAAAATAGTAGTTAGAATAAATTCTAGTGTTTCTAAAGGCAAAATTATACATATGTTTCTGAGTATTCAATACCATTACATTTTATTCCTCTGCACGAGGCAGCATCGTCAGAAAAATCTTTGTTTACTCACAGTGGCTACCACCAGATTAGCCGACTGAGCTAAGCTGCCAAAAGTTAAACAACAAAATTTATTACCTGCATACAAACTAATGGATTTGGTTCACTTGTTGCCATACTTGTCCCATCCTCTTGATCGATAGGCAAACATAATATTTCCAGCTAAAATCAGAGAGTTAGTTGGCTATTTTATAAGATATTGATACAGAGAGTTAATTAATCAACCAATGGCTATTTTATAAGATATTGATACAGAGAGTTAATCAATCAACCAATGGCTGTTTAAAGTTTTATAAGATATTGATACAAAGAGTTATCAATCAACCAATGGCTATTTTTTAAGATAATTATAGGGATCATTGTAGTTGAACAATTTAATCAATTATTTGTCATTCTCTATTAAGTTCAAAAATTTCATGCATTAGGTGTTGGGGACTGAATCTGGCATTATTTTGGTTGGGGGAAAGCAGGCTTATGACCTTCTGTGTGGTTAGGAGCAAAAAAAAAAACCTGAAAGAGATGACAAAGACACTGTAGACTATGTGGAGCCAAGATATTCAACAAAGTATTTTTAAAGGCTTTGCTACTTGTTCACCATATATGCCTGCATTATCATCAGCATTTATGTTGTTATTTTGAACAAGTGGAAATATTTTTAAATTCCACGACACCTTGATTTGTAAAGCTTATAAAATGCACCAGAATATTGTTGTGACAATTTTTTGGCAAATCCAAGATGGTGATAGGTGAACCTGGTTTGGCTCAAATTTTGTACTTCAGTTTTGCACTCTTAATGCACTACGACATGTTATAAAATGACGATTTTCTACAAAAATTCACTCAATCTGTATAATTCAAGGCCTTATGGGCCTGTCTAAAGTTTACATTAACTTTTATAATATGAACAAAACGGAAGGCTCCAGTATCTAAAAGTCACTCAATCTGTATAATTCAAGGCCTTATGGGCCTGTCTAAAGTTTACATTAACGTTTATAATGTGAACAAAAGGGAAGGCTCCCGTATCTAAGCTTTAAGACTAATATATTTTTTAAATGTGATGATACTGTATACTTATCACACAATTAACCTATTATTTGACTGTAAAATCTACATCCTATTGCACAAAAAACTAATGGATGTGTGTAGTATACAAATTATCTTACTTTTTTTTCTCGCTGTTTGAAACCGGGCCGGACATTGCTTGCAGTAAATACGGGACAGTACGACAGTGGGAGTGAGACAAGCAATGGCCTATGCTATTGCCACACGGTCGGTAAATTGGTTATCATGACCAGGTCAACTTCTACACAGGGGGGGTATAATATTTAAT